CTCCAGATTTCTTTTCAATTTGCCTACTTATTCTTAACAGTGTGCCTTGCTAAGTATACATTAGTAACATAACATTTACCTTGTTTAAAATGTCAGAATCTGTGACACACTGTGATTAAGTTCACCTAAATCCATTGGTCACCTCTATCTCCATCAAGCACTAATTCAATGGCTGTATAGAAAATATGAAACCTCTTCATAATCTGTATACATTGTACACTTTTCTCTGAATACCAAAACCACCAAATACCTAAATTAATTCTCTTGTGTCTCAGCCTGTCTTTAGAAGTCTTCCTATCTCATTTGGCCTAAGCTCTAATTGTCAGACACACCAGTGCCTCAGGAATTGTAAAATATACATGCAAGCTGCACATTCACAGTAGGTTCTTACCTACAATATACAGCTCATTATCAGACAGATCAAAACTCACAGAAATGAATAGAAACCTTTAATCTAGGTTTTCTCTCTCAAACCTGCAAGTTGCTTAACTGCCCCTAGGCTCTGAAACCACAGCTGAGAATTCAGTGTGCTCCCTGTGAATTTGAGATGACAAGGAAGGGAACAGAAGTGCAGCCATACAGTGAAGATTGAAATGGTAGAACATTTAAATAAGGTAGTAGAAACAGAGGGGATCCCACATATAACTTCAAAAAATGTTCCTATCTAGACAAGATAATGGCCAGTCATAAGAAAACAAACCATTGTAAAATATGATTGGAAATTAACTTAGAGACTGTTCTGATGAGTTCAAAACTACATATGGTAGATATGTTAGTAATTACCCTAATTTTAAAATTAAAATTTAAATAAAATGAAAAGAGTAATTTAACCCTCAAGCAGAAAGCTATGACTTTGACACTAATGCAGAATAGGCAAGAAGAAACAGGGCTTATATTTAGTGAAAAAGTTGAAACTACACTTAAAAATCAGAGTAATTTTCTTAAGTTTGACCCATCGAAAAATAGATATCTTTTCAAGAAGTGTGCAGTAGACTTTTTGAGAGCCACGTTTCAAGGATTATCTGAATGTCACAACATCAATTGCTCATTCTACAAAAATGGCTCAGGACATCTGCATGCAGAAATTCCTTATTACAAAACCAAACCAAACCAAACCAACAAAAAAACCCCTGCTACCAGGATAAGCATGCAAGACCACACTGTACATAACTCACCCTCAGAGAGGAGAGAAATGATGTGCTAAGATGGACTGCCTTCAAATGCATCCTCTTTTAGGAATGAAACTCACCCTGTTCTAAGACGTCAGGTAGCAACAAAACCTGTTCTGAATAGCACAGCAAAAGAGCTATAAAGATGATCACTGGTTTGACCTAGTTTTGCACAAACCTTTCATCTTACGAATGAAGCTATCTCCCAGCTTGAAGAACAGTGGAAGAATAATGGAAAAGGCAAAAGTGCAGAAGAGAGAGAAGAAAAAAAAGATAATTTGTTCCCCCATGGGCTGGGAACACCAAATCAGCTGTATGCAGCAGAAAGAAAAATTACTAAAAAGGATTAAATGAATGCAGAGGTCTACAAGACAGTACTGGGTTTGTTATTTTTTCTGATCTTGGGAGCACAGATGTTGGATATATTTATGATGGTTTGTGACATGAAGATTAGGATTAATTTTCTGTATTCTACTCTGCTTGATTAATTCTTGATAAGCCCATTAGAGGCAGGCTTACAGGTACCCAGCTATCACAAAAAACACACAGACCTGGAAGCTTTATGGATTTTCTTTTTAAGAATGTTAGTCCATTAGGTTTAACAATTTCAAAAGGAATTGAAAAAAAAATGCTTATGTGCTTTTAAAATCTCACTCTACACTTTTGATTAAATCCTTTAGACTTGTCTCAAAAGACCTTTGCTGTATAAAGATGTTACACTTCCTCATGTCAGTGATCCACTGAGAGGACAGATCCATAACTAGAGTAACAGCCCCTGAAAAGGGATTGATAAAACAATTAGTCCAAGAGGGCTCAGCAAAAGGAAGATTGAATGCTGTTTTTTCTAGGAGCATTTTATAAAAATTGCATATGTCAAAATGCCTATGGTGGTGCCATGAAGATGTTTGTTGGCATTATCAATTGTGTAAATTGTACCAATAAACCCAAATTTGGTTTTCAGAATTATTTATTTTGGATATATTATTCTGCTGTAGCAACATTTTCCAGTTTCTAACAATAATCCTATTCTGCTCACAAACACCATTCTGTCAAGTTTACTGCCCTAACCTATCACAGTACTTCAGTTGGTCTGCAAAGATCCCAAGCTGGGAATTACCACTTCCACAGCTCTCCAGCTTTGTCTTAGATGTTCAGTTTCAGCCATAAGCGCAGAAGTGGATATAGTTCATCCTAACTAGGGATCCAGTACAAGGATCCACGGAAATCCAAATTATTGCATACATATAAAGGTCAGCTTTTTAGTTTTCACACATCACTGTTCCATTGATTTCAGCCAAGCTATTACAACTCATAGAAACTGAAGATTTTCATCTAGTTTCTGGCTTTTAAAATGAAGAGCTGAAACACCTTCTGAAATATCTTTCAGCAAAACTTGATCATCATCTTGCTTTCTTTTTGGAAAGGAATGTTAAATAATGTAGAACTATCTTAACTGGGGCACTTCAACTGAAAAAAAAAGTTGGTCATAAAATAATAACCTCAACCAATTTTTAAAGCTTATACAAATGCATTATGCTGTGAACTAAAATACATAATTTAAATTTCTTTGGATAAGAGGGACTCAGTAAACATCAGATCATTCAGAAAGTAGCATGGTCTTGCAGTATGCGTAGTTAGTATATTAAACACCAGTTCTCACATTTTAGGGAGCCCCTGGTGGTCTAGTGGTTAAGGGCGCGGCGCTGTCACCGCCGAGGCCCGGGTTCGATTCCCGGTCAGGGACACTCCCAGGCAGATGGAGCTCGTTAGCAATCCATCTACGTCCTGAGGACCTCACTGCCACCGTCCAAGCTCACTTGGCTCCCGCAGATGAACTTTAGGATTAAAGGGTGGGCTCAGTTCTGCGCACACTGTGTCTCAGCTAAAAAAAAAATCGAACGCGCAGGCTGGAAGGTGTAAAGACCTTCCCCGGATCTTTGCTCGCGAAGACTGGCCATTATTTATCACATTTATTTGGTGTGAACAGGCTTACAAATAATACCAAACCATGACTTATAGCAGCTTTTTACATTGAGGTATTTTGTTACCATCCCAGGTAAATATGCCCAAATTGGCATGTTCCTTCTGATTAACTGAGTTATTGACGTAACCAATAATCTCCTCATCTCTAGACACCTTCCATAGAGGTCAGTCATGACCACCAGCCCATTCTCTGAACAGCTCCTCTGGCACTATCTCCTCGGATGATCTGTACAGATCTTTCAAATGAGCCCTCCAGGCTAACCTCTCTTTTCCCCATGTGATCAACAGCTGTGCTTTATTTAGAAAGGCTGACAGTCTGGAAACACGCCAAAAGTCAGGCAAGTTCCATCTGCACTACTTACACACCTCTGACTCCAAGATCACTGAAGTCTTTTTGCTACCTGGCTGCTTCACTCCAAAGCATCTTCATCTGCTGCTGACAGCCAACCAGAGCCACTGGATAAAATCCAAAATATCACCTGCTGACTGAAGTCAGACTGTCAGGCACAGCAGAAGACAAAATCTTTAGTATCTATCTCTCCTGAGGCCTTGAAAACATCTTAGTTTCACAAAGTAAAATTGCCTCTATATTGTTACTTGTCTGAAAGCCTTCGAGTATCCCAACAGGAATACTTTTTCCTTGTCCAACATGTTCCTTCTCTTCTGTACTGTAAGTGATTAGTGCTAGTATACAGACTAGATATTTGACAAATTAATTTCCTAAGTACTTTCCCAGCATATGATTGCTGCTTTGGAGAATGTTTGGTGTGAAATTAGATGGAAGAGCTACAAGTGACTAAAGTAGAACAGATAATGTACAGAAACATTTTATGTAGACACTAGAAGCCTTCATCTTCTTGCCTCAAGAATCTTTATACCTTTCTGAAAGTGACAAGTTGTGAAATAGTTGCACAAAAATTGCATGAAAATCAAAAAAAATATAGAGGAAGAAGGTGTATTAGAAACTGCATAAACTACTGGTACCAATTTTTATTCTGCTCTCTCTCAGTATTACTTTCATTCTGAACATGTATATGCAATATGAAGAGCAAAAAGAGTTGCTTTTTATTAGATATGTTCCAATCTACACTATGCATTTTTCACAGTAGTCCACACTTTGCATCATAGAATCATAGAACATCCTGAGTTGGAAGGGACCCACAAGGATCATCAAAGTCCAGCTCCCAGCACTACTCAGGGCAGCCCCTGGAATCACACCATGTGCCTGAGAGCATTGCCCAAACATGTCTTGAACTGTGGCAGGCTTGGTGCTGTGGCCACTTGCTTCCACAGAGCCTTTTTTTGTATAAGTGCTTCTCCATAGTGGCAAAACTTGTGACAGGTCACCTTAAGGCAAACAACTGCAAATGAAACATAACTATTTTCATGGTAATATTGTGCAGGAGTCTCTGACTTAAATTTTTGTGACTCTTCACACCAGCTAACAGATTCAGCTAATCTATTATCCTTTTAAGTTAGGATGAAAAGTAATGCATTCTCTTTTGTTTAAGGTTCCAAATAAATTACTGTGACATACTCATCAAAACAAAATGAGTGAAAGGCCATGCAAGTGTCAGTGACTTCAAATTACTTTGGGGGCTAGAACAGTGCTGAATTCCACAGCAGAGACTGGACAGAGCACACACTTCATCGTAACAGATGACTTAGAGCATTAAAAGTGTTACCATTCAAAGTCACTTCTTGCCCTTCAAAGTGCCACTACCTTGAAAAAATTCAATACACAATTAATTATAGGAGGGAACTTGTATAGATTGTCTCCAGTAAACTCTGCCTCTTTCACACTAAAGGTGAAAGATCAGGTGCTGAGCCTATGATGACAATACTCACAGCAACAGCCTCCAGGATTTGTTTAACAGCATCAGCAGCATCTCGTTCACTGTAGTAACCTTTCTCCACAATCCTACAGAAAAAAAAGGATTAAGCATTAAGGTAAAGAAACAGTGCAGGCAAAGGCTTCATTTCAAAAATGACATAGCAAGTAATCAAATTTAAATATGACTAGGACTCTAGAATGCCCCCAAAAGACTTAAAACCATCCTTTTTGCAATTCAAGTTACCCAGTTAAATTAATAACAGGAGGTAAAATATAAACTAAGTAAATGCTCATAATATGTACATATTTAGTTCAAAGGTTCTGGTTTAAAATACTCTCAGACAAAACCAGACATCCTTTAGGAACTGCTTTTTCACTTTTACATTTAACTTAGCTCCCCCCCCCCCTCGAATTTAACTAGCTCTTTATGAAACAAAATACACACAGAAATACACATAGATCTGAATTATTCAAGAGAAAGGGTTGGTGCAAAAAGTTATCCCTCAAGTGAAATGTGCTGAACAATTGCCTTTCCCCCTACCCCCTCCACTAGAAAACTGGGGATGCTGTAGTCAAAGAAAGATGGTTTCATTACAACTAAAACTTCCTTTTTCTTTCTTCTTAACATAAACAGCCAGTATGCTATGCTTACTTTGTATAGATGAGATGTGATAGCTTTTATAGATTACTAATAAAAGCCGGACTGCAAAGATGCAATGAAGAAATAGTTTATTATAAAAGCAATAAAAACAAGCAAGAAAGATTGGTGGACCGGGCTGTATGCTCTGTGGCAAAAGCAACCCCGAAATGTTAATTTCTCCTCCTTTTGTACCATTTTGGCTTTGTATTTTGCAATCCTGAGGTCCAGAGAGTGCATGCATGAGTTTCAGTAGCTGCTGGGGCTGAAGCTTCACTGTGGATCTTATCTTGTCCCTGCGTCAAAATCAGACATAAGATGTGTATTGGGATGAGGATTTTACCAGGAAAGTTTATTCTGTTTCATTCCTGGAAGAAGGATTACTTTATCTCAGAGTTTTTTCTTGAGTTACTGGAAGGGCTATTTATTTGTTAGGTAATCCAGTTACCTTAAGAAAAGATTGTATATTCTCTTGTCTGTCTTTAGGTTGGGATTTCCTGGCAAACAGAGTCATATGTTTTACTGGAAAAAGGAGGTTTGTTACCAAAAAAGAAATATACCATTTTATTACAGAAAGAAAGAATACAGAAAGTTATGATTACAGAGAAATTACAAGTATTCAATTAATTCATTACAATAGCCTGGTTTTGTAATGCTGACCATGTGCTACTTAGGGGGAGTTCAACAATGTTTATGAGTTCTGAAGGTCCTGAAAATCCAGTATTCTTTTCTCCCTTTGCTTTTACATCAGTTCAGTCTTGCAAAATAAAGAAACCTTCAACTTTCTTCTTTAATATTATCTCCTTGGAACCTTACTATGATGAAAACACTAAGTTCTCCAAGAACTACCATTAGATAATGAAACATTATAAATGTAAAGTGTAGTTAAACAGAGTCAGCAGAAGATACAAACTTGCACAATTACACATGAGAAGTTAATAAAAAAAGGATCTATCATTAAGATGTACCATATTACGATTATGACACCCAATAGTCTTTTTAATATTGTTTTTAACTGTGCACAGTATTTGTGAACTACAATAATTCTCCCCCAAAGACTTACTTTAAAGAAAAAGAATAGCCAGGCCTTGTAGAAACAGAACCAGTGGTGCCTATGAAACATTTTTTGAAATTATGTCCTTCAAGAAGACAAGCCAGTTTTACAAAACAATATCCTAAAACTCCCATGAAGCAATACAGCAAGAAACTTGTATTATCTGAAGTCAAAAGTCACTGGAAAGACCTTCTGTCTAAGGGTCAAAAAAAACATCTCTGATAGCAAGAAGCCTATACTTCTTTCTCCCCACTGCTCCTGTTTTGCAGTAACTTTTTGTCACTTACTTTCTCTGAGAAAACAGGTTCTATTGAGTTGCCATTAGTGCACCTCCTCAGGGCTTCACAAAAGCTAATGGGAAGGGTGTTGACTAATGTACATATGAAAAGCACTACTACACACTCATTAGAAGATCAGGTGCAATAAGAAACAACACAAAGATAGTATTCCAACAGAAACCGATGCAACAAGCTGCAACAAGCGTGCCACTGTGGAAAATAGTCTATTCAGGAATATTCCTCAATGGCTCCAATTGCTTTACCTTAACATTCATTATGTTCACAGATAACCAAGTGTACTGATGTGGCATCAGTAGCAGCAAGTAATTCCTCTCGAGCAGGTCTTCTATTTCACCATGATTTCTCAGCTGCATAATTCCTTGGCCTTATTTCTAGCTTTTTTTTTTTTTTTTTCTTTTTGGCAGCCCTTTAGCTATCATCACATATGTGCTGCTTTAACACCTTTGCTTTTTTTTTTTTTTGTGCCTCTCTGCTCTGGTCATCTGTTTGAACTCTTAGGGAGAGCTTTACTGGAAGTTATCACCACAAGGTTAAAACAAAGCAAAGTTTATCTCATTGAGACATTATGTTAGGCTTTTAGCCTGAAGTATAGGAAAGAGGTTACAAAAATTATAAATTACACAATAGAATGTTACATTATACTTGAAGGTAATATTCCTCCTTAGCTATTTCAGGCTGAATTATCCTCTATTCGATTACATGGTGAGACCTGAATCCCAATGATGCTTAGTTCTTTGCCCCTCCCCCACCTCACACCCCAAATATACTGGTTTTGCTTCCTCCTCCTTTTAAACTCAAGTAAAGTACGTAGTGTCAACCAGACGTACCTGTCTGTAGTATCCCCCCTGCCCATGCATTGAGCCCAATTGTGCACCTGACTTCAGTGACATACGAGGCAGGTTTTAAGGTTTCAACAGGATTTCCAGTTCTCTTACTCACATATATGACTAAGATCAGACAAATATGAAGCAATGCAGTTACAATTCAATTTACATTTCTCCCCTAATCCAACAAATTTCTTATTTTACAGTATAATCTTTTTTTCTATCTTTTTCAAACAGATAAACCAAGGGAAGGAAAAAAAAAACCAACCATCTTTCAAATGCAGTCTACTTCTTTGTATTTTTCTGCATTCAACAAAACCAAAGAAAAGATGAGGCTCTGAGCTTTTTGCCAATGCTCAACCAATGCAGAAATGAAAACCACTTGTTACCTGACCACTGGAAATGAGACATCAAAGAGATGCTTCAGACTATCCTCTTGCTGACCTCAAGAGGAGCCCACCCTGACTTAGACAGTATGCAAGGGCAAGGATAGCACACTGCTTTCATTATTTACATTAAATACGCAGCAGAAGAACCCCACAGACACTGTAGATAAAACCTTTGTAAATTTACACTTTAAAGTAAATAAATGTAATGAAGCGTGGGTTCATATTTCAGGAGAGTAATGAAAACCAACTGTAGAATTATTGTGCAATGCACTTGACCCATCCTCTAATGTGAAAAACATACACTGTCAGGCCAATTACAGGTTATGTCACATGCAGTTAACTTTCCAGTTTTCCAGATGTCTAGAAATAGGAGTTATTGAGAATAGATATCTAATTATAAATAATAATCTAGCCAACAGAAAACCTACTCTTCTGTAACAGTAATAAATGAAAAAGGTCATATTCCTTTCTAAAGATGAAAATTTATCTCTAAGGGTACTCTACGTTAGAACTAAAAGCTGGTTATTACACAATAAGGAAGAGTACTGAACAAAGATTATCATGTAGTTTGGGTCATGTAGTAATGCTGGGGGATCATCTGCATATCTATTTCTTGCATCCTCCCTGTAATAGTTTACGTAAGACAAATGGTAGGTGTGCCAGTTTGCTTTTTTTATAACAACACTCCTACCTGAGATGATCAAAGCTTCTTTGCAAGGGTTTTTCAGTTTTAACTTGCAGATTAACAATGACTCATTGCTCTTTTTTTCCCCACAATGGGAAGGAAACTTGCAAAAATGTCTTATTTTGTTATTATTGAAGCAAACCCAACTATTTATAGCTAGTTTGCAGAATGATCTTTAAGAAAACCATGGTTGGAAGTAGATTAAACCTTTGCTGAGAGGACAGAAAGAACAGCAACAATAAGGAACTAATTAAATACTCTTTTTGATATGCAAATGAAAGAGCCAGGTAGACCAAAAGAGTGGTTGAGAGAAAAACTGAGGAAAACACCTGGGAATCCAGAAATACTTGAAGTCAAACAAAACCAAAAAAAAAAGCTTTGAAAAACACTGAATTTTGTGCCACAAGGATCCAGGAAATTGAAGACAAAAATTCAAAATAAAGATATTCTAAAGCAAGCAAAAATGAAGTGCTGGTTTGTGCAGAATCACTTTTTCATTTATGCTTATGTGCACACACATTGAAATATGATGATTCAGTTGTTTACACTTGCATATGGCAAGACACACGTTTAACAAAGCAACCACTGATGGACATCAAACTATAGGTCTCCTAAAACACCACCTACTTCAATCTAGTCTTTCCAAGCTCACATGAAGGAATTTGGGACAAATCTTCCTCATTCCATACAGAGGAGCAGCAAAGTACTTCCCAAGGGTCCCTCTTCCCTGCCCCTTCCCACTACCTGCAAAGATGGAGATGCCCTTTCATAAGAGCCCCAGTCCCCAGGGTGCTGAGATGCATCTCTGCCTCCCTGCAGGGTCTGACCATCCAGCAGAAACCACTCCTCGGCTGCACCACCAAAGTAACTGTAATGCTCTCAGCTGCTTCTGACATTCATAGGTGGAAAAGCCTTGTCAAGTAATGGAGCTGTAACAAATTTAGTGGAGGGTAAAACCACCCTTAGCACCCCCCTGCCCGGCAAGCCCGTGGAAATGGTATAATGTCTCTCTTGTGATGCACGCTCTCCCTGTAGACAGTGGGTAACTGGAATTTTGGCAGCTTCCACATGATCAAACACATGTATGTGTTCAAGTGTTTCATAATTTGCAGCAATCCCTGCCAACATTAAATCAGCCTTTCTAACACCTCTGTTCCCTGTGAGCATTGCAAGATTTCCTGCAATATAAATTCTTCAGT